TTCAAGCACTGAAAACCTATATATATTTCTTTCTGGCAAGGAAGAAAAACGAAGAAGCAGAAAGAAAACACAGCAATAGATGAGGTATCTGTACTGTTTTAAAATCCTCTGATTGAGGCACGATCAATGAAAAACCTAAGGACCCTTCCACACAGCTGAATATAATCCCACATTATTTGCTTTGAACTGAAATATATGGCAGCGTGGACCAGATAGCCCAGTTACAAAAAGATGTTGTGGGATTTTCTGCCTTGATATTCTGGGTTATATGGCTGTACGGAAGGGCTCTCAGTATTGTTTAGAAACCTACATAGACTAAGAAGAATATTTTGGCAAGAACAGAGCATAAGAGATCCCTTAATATTACTGAAGAGGTCATTGCATATTGACTATTGAAAACATATAAAATGAAAAATGATGCTTCTGTGCATTCTTTTATTGATACATTTTAATATCAAATACTTAAATTTGCCCCAGATGGCGCAGTGGGGTAAAGCACTGAGCTGCTGAACTTGTTGACCAAAAGGTTGCAAATTCGGGGAGCGGTGTGAGCTCCTGCTGTCAGCCCCAGCTTCTGCCAACCTAGCAGTTCAAAAACATGTAAATATGAGTAGATCAATAGGTACTGCTCTGGCGGGAAGATAACGGCACTCCATGCAGTCATGCCAACCACATGACGTTGGAGGTGTCTACGGATAACGGCGGCTCTTCGACTTAGAAATGGAGATGAGCACCAATCCCCAGAGTCGGACACGACTGGACTTAATGTCAGGGGAAAACCCTTTACCTTTACCTACTTAAATTACAAGAAACAATAGACAGACATTATATATCTATTTAAAGCACACCGAAACAAGACAAAATACAAAGACAATAAATGGCACTTTCTTCCTATTCCCTAATTAAATTTGCCTTCCTGGGCTTCTCTGGTGGGAGTATGATAATATAATTTGTCTCCTCTCTAAACTACTTCTATTATATTTACTATCTTTACTTATAATAAGAAAATATTTGTCTTCATTCTATACTAAAGCCTATAGTTACAATGTATTTTTTCTTTACATAGTTTGTAAAAGTTTTCCAGATTTTTTGATAAATTTTATTGACTGTTGTTTTAATAGGTTTGTCAATTTATATTTCAGCCAAATCCATTAATTTGTCAATCCACTTTATAATATTTGGAACCTTTCTCCAGTGTTACCAGCATTTCACATACATGCTGTTATATAGAGTATTAAACTCTGTACTCTCTTTCCAATATGTGTGTGTGTGTGTATGTATAATGCTTTTGTATGTTTGCAACCTGTACTGGTTTAAATACTTTGCGATTTGACCCATTGTTATGACAATGATAGAATAAAAAAGCATAAAATAACAATACTAGGTGGGATATCAGGAAGTGTATTGGACTTGTTTATGTCTTTATAAATGTTTTTAGCATTGGTCTAAATTAAATGTAAAAACCATAATGAAATTATGAGTTTATAAAAAAGATGAGTAACGGATGAGGTCTGGGAGGTGTAATGACTCCCTTCCCTCCCTCAAATTAATGCCACAAGAAATCAGTATATGTTTTATAAGCGGCCACAAATCTCTCCATTGTTTTTTTTGCTAGACTCTCTTAACAACCCCTCAGGATAAAGGCGGCACAGTTACCGCAAATATTTTTAGCTGCGTCAAAGAGCTAATAGCCTAATTACATAACCTTTCACACTGAAAACACGCACAATAATCCCAGTGTTTTAAACACTCAAAATTACAGGCTTAGAGCCCCACTTTGATCAAAGAGAATAAGTCCCCTTCTGCACCTCCATATAATTCAGATTATCAAAGCAGATAATCCAGATTACCTGTTTTGAATGGGATGACATGAGCCTACACTGGCATATAACCCAGTTTAAAGGACATAATCTGGATTTTATATGGCAGCATAGACTCAATAATTTAAGAAGTGATCTTTGGTTTGTATGGAGATTAGTCTTACCTACTTTCGGTACTAAATAAATGACCTGCATTTTATTATTTTTAATTTTTTTCACACATGCGGTCAAATAAAACTGATCACGTTGCTTGTCCGATATCGCCTCATCTCCTGCAAATGCAAAAATGCTAATTTACTGGCAAAGTATACCTTGGATGCAGCTTGAGCGTTGAACAAAGGGTGTATCTGTGCCATGGAATGAATGCAGTTTGATCCCACTTGAACTGCCTTGGCTCGATGCTATGGGATCCTGGGAGTTGTAGTTTCCCAAAGCCTTTATCCTCCTCTAAGTGCTGGTGCCTCATTAAATCATATCTCCCAGGCAGGGGCGGGCCAACCCATTACGCAAAGTAAGCATTTGCAGTATACTTGATTTTGCCCAGGGGCGCTCTTGAGGCGCTCTTGGGGGAAAATAGACCTTGACATATGCGAGTTGTAGTTACTGGGATGTATAGTTCACCTACAATCAAAGAGCATTCTGAACTCCACCAATGATGGAATTGAACCAAATATGGCACACAGAACTCCCACGACAAACAGAAAATATATATATCAGTGATTGGTTGGGGGGGGGGGAGGGATGCCAAAATACTGCTTGCTTATTGTTGAAAATTACCTAGGGCCACCTCTGCTACCAGGATTCCAGGATTAACCTAAGTCAGGGTCAACCTAAGTGTGAAATGAACAAGAGACCAAATTGGATAATGGAAAAAGGCAGGGAGTTTCAGAAAAACATCTTTTTTCTGTTTTATTGAATATTCTAAAGCCTTTGACTGTATGGATCATGATAAATTGTGGCAAGTTCTTGGTGGGATGGGGATACCAAGCCACCTTGTCTCTCTCCTGAGGAATTTGTATAAGAACCAAGTAGCAACAATAAGAACTGACCATGGAACAACAGACTGGTTCAAGATTGGGAAAGGCGTACGACAGGGTTGTATGAGTAATAGAGTTGTGTGTCATCTGCATAGAGGTGGCACCTAACTCCAAAACTCCAGATGACCTCTCCCAGCGGTTTCATGTAGATGTTAAAGAGCATGGGAGACAAGATAGAGCCTTGCGGAACCCCACAGGTCAAATCAAGGTGGTCAGTTGAAACATTCACACTTAGCTCCAGCAGACAAGAGTCCTTTGTCTCACCCTGGTCATTCCACAGATATATAATAAACCCATTTTCCTAGTTCCAACAGACCTCACTACCTCTGAGGACGCTTGCCATAGATGCAGGCGAAACGTCAGGAGAGAATGCCAGTGGCTGGATCTGCAAGATTAGTAGAAATATACTGTGCTTGAAGAGGAAGGGAGAGGGAAGGTGGAAATAATGTAATATACACCAGTGTAAATTAGCATAATGTCTTTAATGTTTGTTGAATTACTCAGGATTTATATGTGTAGCACTTGGAATTTGGCTTATCGATCTGTGTGTATAACATAATAAAATATCTTTTTAAAAAAAGAATGCCTCTAGAACAGTGTTTCTCAACCTGGGGGTCGGGACCCCTGAGGATTGTGAAGTGGTTTCAGAGGGGTCACCCAAGACCATAAGAAAACATATATTTCTGATGGTCTTAGGAACTTCCTTGGCAGAGAAGGCTAAAGATCTCTCTGTCTGTCCTTCTCTTCCTTTTTGGTGTTGGTGAACTACAACTCCCAGAATTCAAAAATACCCCCACCCCACCAGTATTCAATGTTGGCCATGTAGGTAGTGTGCTAAGTTTGGTGCAGATCCATTGTGGGCTGGGTTCAGAGTGCTTTTTGATTGTAGGTGAACTATAAATCCCAAATGTCAAGGTCTCTATTCCCAAAACTCCAACAGTGTTCACATTTGTGCATATTGAGTATTTGTGCCAAGTTTGGTCCAGTTCCATCATTGTTTGAGTCCACAGTGCTCTCTGGACGTAGGTGAACTACAACTCCAAAACTCAAGGTCAATGCCCACCAAACCCTTGTATAGTATTTTCTGTTGGTCGTGGAAGTTCTGTGTGCCAAAATTGGTTTAATTCCATCATTGGTGGAGTTCAGAATGCTCTTTGATTGTAGGTGAATGATAAATCCCAGCAACTACAACTCCCAAATGTCAAGTTCTATTTTCCCCAATCTCCACCAGTATTCACATTTGAGCATATTGAGGATTCATGCCAAGTTTGCTCCAGATTCATCACTGTTTGAGTCCACAGTGCTCTCTGGATGTGGGTGAACTATAATTCCCAAACTCAAGGTCAATGTCCACCAAACCCTTCCAGTTTTTTCTGTTGGTCATGGGAGCCCTGTGTGCTAAGTTTGGCCCAATTCCATCATTGGTGGAGTTCAGAATGCTCTTTGATTGTAGGTAAACTATAAATCCCAGCAACGACAATTCCCAAATGACAAAATCATTTTTTTTTTGAGTGGAGGACATAAATTGGACTGTTAGGTGTCTTGTGTCCAAATTTGGTGTCAATTCCCCCAGTGGTTTTTGAGTTCTGTTGGTAGCACAAACTAACTACATTTTTATATATAAACCATTTTTACTAGTTCCAACAGACCTCACTACCTCTGAGGATGCTTGCCATAGATGCAGGCGAAACGTCAGGAGTGAATGCCTCTAAACATGGCCATATAGCCCGAAAAAACCTACAACAACCCAATCACCCAATGCCTTGTCCACCCTTCGCATCAGTCATTTCCTTTAATGACAAGCGGCAGCTGTTTACCCAAACGCCCCGCCCCCTTTTAATACCATCACCGACCTTTTAAGCCAATCACCTCCTGAGGTGGGCGTGGCCTCGAACTCGCCACGCCCCCCTCATCCTCAGCGACCACACCGCTGTTAGGATCGCTCCTCCGCACGCGCTGAAGGTACCGTGATTGGCGGCCGCCGCGGCCCAATGGCTAGCGCGGAGCAGGTGGCTTCCCTTTGTAGAGCGCTCAACCAATGGGCGAAGCGCGAAGGGCGTGGCCTGAGGAGTGGCGGGCGAGGCGCCGTATCGCGGCGGCGGGGAAAAGCAGCGTCGTCCAATGGGGGCCGGGAGTGGGCGGGGCGGGACGGCGTTCGGGAGAGCAGCGAGCGGAACGCTTGAGGGAGCCGGCCGGAGCGCTGTGGGCGCGGGGGCTCGCTCGAGGGCGGCACGAAAATGCACTCGGATGCCGCCGCTGTCAGTAAGTGGGGAGCTCGGCGAAGGGAGCGGAGGGAAGGCGGGAGGAGGGGAAGAGGGGATGTGGAAGGGGTGGGGAAAGGAGGAAGCCATCGGTTTGTGAGGGAAAGAGCCCTCGGTGGGACTCTGAGGGAACTGTGACGCAGTTGGCCCCGCTTTGTTCGGCGGCGCAGGAAGGGGGCGTGTGTGTGTGTGTGTGTGTGTGTGTGTGTGGGCCTCCCTCAAGCCTCCCCTTCCGTCGCCTTTTCTGCCCACTCTGGGGGGGGGGGGGGGAGAAAGGAACACCCCTCTGCTTCCCCCTCGCTCTGCTTCTCTCTCTCCCCGCTGCATTGTGGGAGTTTGAGTCCTCGGCTCCCTGCTCTTGCGCGTAGCCTTACTGGGCTGCGCACTACAACTCCCAGAATGCATTGCACGCCCAACTGTCATCCCACCCCCTCCTCCTCTTTCCCCGTCCTTTTTCCTCTCCCCTCCGCCCCCATGACAGCGAACCCCACTCCAATGATCCTGTCGAAATCCAAGAGGCCATACTTGGGCCATCCAGCCCAACCCCCTTCTGCCACGCAGGAAAAGCACAATCATAGAATCAGAGTTGGAAGAGACCTCATGGGCCATCCAGTCCAACCACCTGCCAAGAAGCAGGAATATTGCATTCAAATCACCCCTGACAGATGGCCATCCAGCCTCTGTTTAAAAGCCTCCAAAGAAGGAGCCTCCACCACACTCCGGGGCAGAGAGTTCACTGCTGAACGGCTCTCACAGTCAGGAAGTTCTTCCTCATGTTCAGATGGAATCTCCTTTCTTGTAGTTTGAAGCCATTGTTCCGCGTCCTAGTCTCCAGGGAAGCAGAAAACAAGCTTGCTCCCTCCTCCCTGTGGCTTCCTCTCACATATTGATACATGGCTATCATATCTCCTCTCAGCCTTCTCTTCTTCAGGCTAAACATGCCCAGCTCCTTAAGCAGCTCCTCATAGGGCTTGTTCTACAGACCCTTGATCATTTTAGTCGCCCTCCTCTGGACACATTCCAGCTTGTCAATATCTCTCTTGAATTGTGGTGCCCAGAATTGGACACAATATTCCAGGTGTGGTCTAACCAAAGCAGAATAGAGGGGTAGCATTACTTCCCTAGATCTAGACACTATGCTCCTATTGATGCAGGCCAAAATCCCATTGGCCTTTTTTTGCCGCCACATCACATTGTTGGCTCATCCAGATAAGATCCATGAATTATTTTTCAAACGAAGTATACAGTAAATGGAGGCATAATAATTATCTATCTATCTATCTATCTATCTATCTATCTATCTATAAATGCTCTGTGCAATGAGTACCTTAAAAACAAAAGAACCAATGAACGAAATCACACCAAATTTGGCAACAAAACGTCTCACAACACAAGGAGTGACCATCACTCAAAAATTCTGATTTTGTCATTTGGGAGTTGTAGTTGCTGGGATTTATAGTTCACCTACAATCAAAGAGCATTCTGAACTCCACCAACGATGGAATTGAACCAAACTTGGCACACAGGACTCCCCTGACCAACAGACAACACTGGAAGGGTTTGGTGTGCACCAATACTCAATATGCTCAATGTGAACATAGAATTATAGAATCAAAGAGTTGGAAGAGACTTCATGGGCCATCCAGTCCAACCCCCTGCCAAGAAGCAGGAATGTTGCATTCAAATCACCCCTGACAGATGGCCATCCAGCCTCTGTTTAAAAGCTTCCAAAGAAGGAGCCTCCACCACACTCCGGGGCAGAGAGTTCCACTGCTGAACGGCTCTCACAGTCAGGAAGTTCTTCCTCATGTTCAGATGGAATCTCCTCTCTTGTAGTTTGAAGCCATTGTTCCGCATCCTAGTCTCCAAGGAAGCAGAAAACAAGCTTGTTCCCTCCTCCCTGTGGCTTCCTCTCACATATTTATACATATACCAATAATCAATATGCTCAATGTGAACATGGGTGGAGTTCACTAAAAAAATGGATTTTGACATTTGGGAGTTGTAGTTGCTGGGATTTATAGTTCACCTACAATCAAAGAGCATTCTGAACTCCACCAATGATGGAATTGAACCAAACTTGGCACACAGAACTCCCATGACCAACAGAAAATACTGGAAGGGTTTGGTGGGCATTGACCTTGAGTTTGGAGTTGTAGTTCACCTACATCCAGAGAGCACTGTGGACTCAAACAATGATGGATCTGGACCAAATTTGGCACAAATACTCAACATGCCCAAATATGAACACAGATGGAGTTTGGGGGAAATAGACCTTGACATTTGGGAAGTTGTAGTTACTGGGATTTATAGTTCACCTACAATCAAAGAGCATTCTGAACCCCACCAACGATAGAATTGGGCTAAACTTCCCACACAGAACCACCATGACCAACAGAAAATACTATGTTTTCTCATGGTCTTTGGTGACCCTTCTGATACCCCCTTGCAACCCCCTCCAATGGTCCCAAACCCCAGGTTGAGAAATGCTGCCTTAAGGCCACCCAGTCCAACTCCTTTCACCAGGGCAAGAAAACATAAAGCCCTCTTGACAAAGAGCCATCTAGCCATTCACACACATATATGTATATGACAGATGCAGAATCAAAGATTTGAAAGGGACCCCTAAAGAAGGACAATGATATGTTGCATGTTCCAGAGTGGGCAAACCAGACACTCTCCACATCAACACTGGCAAAGAAACAGCAAGAAATACTGTTTACCCACAAGCATCAAGACATTACATGTATTAGAAACCAACACTTTCTCATTACTTTATTTTCCAGATCACCAGACTGGGCCACAGCAACGCATGGCAGGGGACGGCTAGTAGTAGTAGTAGTAGTAGTAGTAGTAGTAGTAATAATCCTAATCTTTATTTATACCCCACTGCCATCTCCCTCAACAGGGACTTGGAGTGGCTTACATGGGGCCAAGCCCGAATAACAAATTACAATACAAAAATACAAATTGCAATAAAATAAACAACATAACAATAAAGTAAAAACATCAAAGCATATGAACAATATACACAAAACATAAAAACCAAACATAATGACAGAGAGTGGGCCGCATGTACATAAAATGATTTAAAAACTCAGGGTGAGATAAAGGGGCAGAACTGTTTCTAAGGGAGAACTCATAGAGAGACAGAGAAATAAACAAAATTGCATTCAAAGCACCCCTGACAGATGACCATCCAGCCTCTGTTTAAAAGCTTCCAAAGAAGGAGCCTCTACCACACTCCGGGCAGAGAGTTCCACTGCTGAACAACTCTAACAGTCAGGAAGTTCTTCCTAATGTTCAGATGGAATCTCTTTTCTTGTAGTTTGAAGCCATTGTTCCCGTCCTAGTCTCCAGGGCAGAAGAAAACAAGCTTGCTCCTTCCTCCCTATGACTTCCTCTCACATATTTATACATGGCTATCATGTCTCCTCTCAGCCTTCTCTTCTTCAGGCTAAACATGCCCAGCTCTTTAAGCTGCTCCTCATAGGGCTTGTTCTCCAGACCCTTGATCATTTTAGTCGCCCTCCTCTGGACACATTTCAGCTTGTCAATATCTCTCTTCAATTGTGCCCAGAATTGGACACAATATTCCAGGTGTGGTCTAACCAAGGCAGAATAGAGGGGGAGCATGACTTCCCTGGATCTAGACCAGGGGTCCTCAAACTATGGCCCGGGGGCCGGATACGGCCCTCCAAGGTCATTTACCCGGCCCTCGCTCAGGGTCAACCTAAGTCTGAAACGACTTGAAAGCACACACAACAACAATCCTATCTCATCAGCCAAAAGCAGGCCCACACTTTCCATTGAAATGCTAGTAAGTTTATATTTGTTAAAATTGTTCTGTATTTTAATTATTGTATTCTTTTAAAGTGTTTTTGCACTACCAATAAGATATGTGCACTGTGCATAGGGATTCATTCATGTTTTTTCAAATTATAATCCGGACCTTCAACAGTTTGAGGGACTGTGACCTGGCCCTCTGTTTAAAAAGTTTGTGGACCCCTGATCTAGACACTAAACTCCTATTGATGCAGGCTAAAATCCCATTGGCTTTCCCCCCCGCCACATCACATTGTTGGCTCATGTTTAACTTGTTGTCCACGAGGACCCCAAGATCTTTTTCACATGTACTGCAAAATCAAACCACCGCCAACAGATGGCCACCGGCCTCTGTTTATTCGCCCCCAAAAGAAGGACGAGGCAGTTGGGAGACCGATATTTTTAAAAGCTGCCCCTCTGTAATGAACAACTGTCAGCCAGTGTCCAACCTCCCCTTTTTTTGTAAAATGGAGTGTGTGGTGGCCTACAACTTGAGGGATTTCTGGTTGAAACTGATTATCTAGATCCATTTCAATCTGTATAATTTCAACACTAAGTAGGGAATTTATTTATTTATTTATTTCATGCATTTCTACCTCGCCCTTCCCACCCCAAGGGGGACTCAGGGCAGCCCCAAATAAGCATCGTATGATGCTATTAGCATATTAACAATAAAAAATTACATTTAAAACATTAAAAATCATTAGAATCACATTTTACAATTCATTAAACTATAAATTAAACATGCCAATTAAAACCAAATCCAAGTCGGGTAAATCCAAAGTTGCAAATACCTTAGGTTTTCTTTCCAGTTGCCACTGTCTACTAATCGAATGCCTGGTCTCAGAGCAAAGTCTTCAATTGTCTTCTAAAGGACAGGAGGGAGGTGGCCAACCTGATGTCCTTAGGGAGAGAGTTCCATAGACGGGGGGGGGGGCACTGCCGAGAAGGCCCTGTCTCTCGTCCCCACCGCGTTTGCGAAAGTGGTGGGATCGAGAGCAGGGCCTCTCCTGATGATCTTAAGTTTCGTGATGATTCGTAACCGGAGATACGTTCGGACAGGTAATCTGGGCCAGAACTGTGACAATGCACAAAATCTGGCTACCAGCATTAAAAAAACTATACAACTAAATAAAGAACAACGAATTCCAGACAAGAAACAATCAGGGCCAGCTA